AATGATGTTATTCTATGATTCCCTCAGTGTCAGTTTCAAGAGCCGATTCGATCCAAAGCATCAACAGAAGTTTAGCTGTGATTGAGGTAAGTTTTAGTACAGAGACAAATAATATAAAGTACTTAGATAAAGCGATATATTTCAAATCTTCTATCATCGCAAAATGTAAAGTATATTATCGCACAGCTCTAATCGGCTAATGTGACTACATAGAAATGTAGAAATTAAGATATTATCAAATTCATGCAATTTATAAATGATATCACTCACTCTTAGAAGAAATGGTTCTATTTAGAACCAGAAATGGTTCATCCCCCGCTTCATATATGGAACTCCAAAATAGTTCTATATAGAACCTTTTTTTTGGTAAAAGGTTCTATTTGCCAAGTATGGAACCCCAGGTTCTATATAGAACCCAGAGGAACTCTTTTTTTAAGAGTGTATAGAACCTTTTAGGGGTTCCAAATACGTAGCACTGATAGAACCTTTTAAGGTTCTATATAGAACCTTTTCTTCTAAGAGTGTACTAATGATGCAAATTGTCTGCTTGTATCTTGTAGTTCACTGATGCCAGATCAGGTCATGTGACGCTCTAACCAGTGAAGTCAACAAGTCAGATGTTACAGTCTGATGCTGAACAGACCAGAGATATCAGTTCATATTTTGAAAGAATTGCAGTAAGAAAGAAGAAAAAGCAAGATGACAGTGACCAGACCTTTTTGGAGGACCAGTTGTTTACTTCATCATCATCATCATCATAATCATCATCATTAGAAAAGGCACATTATGAGGAACCACATGGACATTTTCCTGTTGCATTTCTGGAAAAAGAACAGAAACATTCTGTTTAGGCTTGGACATTATTTAGCATGAGACAATTTCTTGATGAACTGTAAATAAAAATCATATTGCACAAGAAAATGCAATGTTTAATATTACATTAACCAGAATATGAATTTATAGCCAAATATTCTATGCGTCATGATCAAACGTCCTGCTACACCAATGAAATGCTGTGATTTGTACATTTAACCAGCTCAAAACCCCTGTGAAGTTTGTGGGATTCGGGTAATTTGGAAAATACATACATAATGAAAACAGTAATGCTTGAAAATTTCTTTTGAAAATTCATTTGGATTGTCTAAGGGTTTTATGTTCATGTCATGTACTGTAATATGCAGGATGTCAGCACCTCACTGGAGAGAGAAAACTGTGTTTTATTATTTAAAAGATTTATAATAAATAAAAGAAGGTCATTATATTTTTCTGTATTGTGTCTTGCTTTCGATAGACAGTCATATAAACAGACAGACAGTAGACATCCAATCCAGTGTTATTTCCAGTACTAAACACCAAACGGATTGCTTTGAACACAGTCTAGTGAATTAATAAATTATTATGTAAATCCAGTTCTTGTAAACATCCACTTATCCAACAGCCTCTTACATAATGAAAAGAATTGAAAGACATTCTACATTCTAAATTACAAAGAATATGAACTAATCAACCTAATGCAGATCTGATGCAAATGTGCCTTCGTGCCTAAATAATTCATATGTAGAATAAAGGGGCGGGGCCTGGTTGAGTTAGTAGTGTATTGAAACTGGCAGTTATGGAAAGGGGCGAGACATTTACCAAACACACTCGAAGCACTTGACAAATCACAACACACTGATCCAGCCAACCAATCAGAGCACAGTATACTTTTCAGAAGGAGGGGCTTCATAGAGACAGAAACTAAACAGAGCGTTACTGACAGACTGGGAAGAGAGGAGCCGCAACAATGGAAAATATGAGGAAAAAAATCAACATTCAAGCATGAAAATCTGTTCTAGTAGAGACCAAAATCAACTTTAAGACTTTGTAAAGGGCATAATATGTGATCTTTAGTACACCTACTGTAACACAGACACAACACACCTTGAGGGAAACTTGTCAGATCTAAAACAAACCACATCTTCAAATGAATGAAAGTGACTCTCTGATTTACAGCTTTAAAGTTGAAATGTACAAGAGTGAACATAGACAGATCATAATTAATGTTTCTCTATGACCCCACAGAGACTGTTCGTCAGAAATAGACTCGTAACATGACATGCTGTAATGTGATTTAATACCATCAGTCTTTTGTAGAAGACACGGACTGTGATAAATAAGAGCAGGGGTTCAATGTCTACGTCCTCTGACACCGCCGTAACATTAGGACACAACGCCCAAAATATCTCTCCAGTGACCCCAACACCAGCTGAAGTCACCCAACACGGAGTCACACGCCGCGCAGGCCAAGCATTACCGCTGGGACCATGGACAAAGGTAGGATCATCTACATAGCAGTATTTGAAGCAAATACAGCACGCTTTTGTGGTACATTTGTGACCCTGGACCACAAAACCAGTCACTCGGGTATATTTGTGGCATTAACCAATAATTTGATTATATTTGATAATATTGATTTTTCTTTTATGCCAAAAATCGTAGAATATTAAGTAAAGATCATGTTCCATGAAGACATTTTGTAAATTTCCTACTGTAAATTTACAAAACATTTATTATTTGAATGAATGCAGCACAATCGCGAACATAAATGGACGACTTTAAAAGAGATTTTCTCAATGAATGTTTAGTTGTTTGTATTTTTTGCATCCTCAGATTCCAGATTTTCAAATAGTTCAAATGTTGTCCTATCATAACAAACCTTAAAAAAAAATGGAAAAGCTTACTTATTCAGCTTTCAGATGATGTATAAACCTAAATTCAAAAATATTGACCCATGTGACTGGTTTTGTAGTCCATGGTCACATTTGGATACTTATTGGGAAAATGCATGAGAAATAATTTGCAAAATGTGTCTTAACGGGAACTGCGAAAGCATGGTTAGTGTACGTTTGGTTGCAATGTAAAGATCATCCACAGCGGTTATCTGAAGATTTATTCAATTCACTTGCATTGCAATTGAATAATTGTATTGCAATACCTTAAAAATGTTTGTCTCAGTTTGAAATATACTTAATCCTTTATACTTTTCTTCTACAACAATCCGTATTTGTGACCTTGTGCGTTATTTGTTTAAAATATCTACATATCTTCATGTCTCGGAATGCTTTAGCATCAGTTTCTAGCTGTGCTAGTCTTCCTGTCCATTGCAAAGCATGCAGACACATTTATTCTGATTCCTCAAATGCTAGTCAAGAATCTATGGGTCATGCGCTAAAAATAGAAATGCTCAAATGGCAGCATGTTGTGCATGTGCTTCGTGACAAACCCTAATGAATATTATAAATATTTGCACGAAGGCATTTTTTTTAAAGATTCAATGACTGCATGTTCTCTATTTCTTCCCTTCACAGTCGTGGAGATTGAACGCATTAATCTGGCGTGTGAGGAGAACAACACGGATCACCACACGCTTCTGAACGGTGTGGACAGACTGATCGTGAGGAGAGGACAGCCGTTCACCATTACTCTACACCTGAGACCGGGAACTCACTTTCAAAATGGGGCCGATATCAATTTCATCGCGCAAACAGGTTCCTAGATCACTTCCATCCTATTCAGACTTTACAACAAACATACAACTGAACCATTAGGCACCAAAGCAACCTAGCAACATGCGTTGGTGATATGTGAAAGCAACCACTGCCAATGCAACAAAGTTGAGCAGACTTTAAATTTTAGGCAAATGAGTGCAGCAGCAACCAATGAGTAGGGTTGGGAATCGAGAATCGAGTATCGATTGGAACCGAGACTAACTTTTCGTTTTTCCCGGAATCGTTCAAAAGTTAAAATTTCGATTCCTAGTTTCGATATTCACAGCCCGCCGAGCGGAAGAAAAAACCGCTGAACAACACCAACGAAGAAGCGTCTACCGGAAGTGTTGGCATAACCACGCGAGAGCGAACATGAGTACCTTACGTCGGCGATCCAAAGTGTGGCTTCACTTTTCTAAAAAATAACGAAATCTCGGCAAAATGCAAAATTTGTGACAAAAGGAGTATTTTTGCAGAAGGAGTATTTCCTTCAGAAAGACCGTTGGTTAGCAAGGTTAGCTAAACTTTTTTGACCCTGCCTCTTGAAAGAATCGGAATCGAGAATCGTTTGGAACCGGAATCGAAACAAGGAATCGGAATCAGAATCAGAATCGTTCAAATTCAAACGATACCCAACCCTACCAATGAGAGAGCAGAAAGTGAAGCTCAAGTGAAAGTGAAGCCTGGAAACTGTAGTTGACAAGGGTCAGAGTTTAACTGGCAGATGCTGTAATTAAATATATAAACACACACACACAATATATATATATATACACACATGACATTTACATCTACTAAAATATAATTAAATTGAAATAAATTAAATATTTGTGATTTTAAATGACATTTATATAATTAGTATTATTATTTTCAAAATTCACATATTTTTGAATGGCTATCAAATGACATCTACGAGCAAACTGTATTTCCTTGGTAGTCTAACACCAACTAGCAACAATAACTTGGTGACCAAACACAATTAAAATGCTGTCAGTGTGAATGCAGTAAAATGTAAAAAAGCTGATATTAGTATAAAAAAAAACACTTCTAGATAGATCATCACAATAAGCATCTACAACTGAGGTCTAGCTTGGAGACATCGGCTGAAAAAGCAAATAATTATTTGATTATTTTTTCCCTATGCACTAATAAATCATTCACAATTAAACCAGGAACGTCATGGCTTGTTTCACTTTTAGTGCTAATGATTTTATTAAAATACTTACAATAAATCAGGGCTGGTTTTATTACGGGGCGTCCCATGACAGTGAAGTTAACTCCTGTATTTAGAGGATTTACAGTGCTGAAAGGCATGACAGTTATGCTGCACAAGCACACAGTCATCAGATCATACGTTATAATTAGAAACACGAGGTAAAGGCTTCAAAACATGCATGTCACGATTAAAAGTGCTTGCGTTTATCCATTCATGTTTGATTTCAGGTCCGAGACCCTCAGTGGAAGCACAAACCAAAGCCAAATTCAGCCTCAGTCATTTCTCCTCCAGATCATGCTGGAGTGCCACTGCAGAGACAGCGTCCGACAGCACAGTCTCTCTGACCGTGTGCTCACACCCAAACGCCCCTATTGGAGTCTACAAGCTGATCCTGGATCAGGCAGAAGGAGTTGGACTGGGAGATTTTGTCCTGCTCTTTAACCCCTGGTGCAAAAGTAAGCTGTTTTATCATGAGTGATCAATCCTGATGAGCACATAATTAAGCAGGGGCATAGGGGAGACCAGGGCACAACCTAACGCATTTTGGTTTTGGCTCAATTAATTAAAAAGTAATTAGGTTAGATTAATATTTTTTTACACAAGCAACATACACATCTCTGCTACAAATGAACACTTGTAACAGACAGAGGGGTCGTTCGTTGTAACACTTGTGTGTAACACACATAATTCAGTACTATTTTATTTGTATAGTTTGAGATTGTTTGTGCATCTGATAGACAGATATCCATACATTCATCCCGCGTCCTATCATCCTTTTGTTATGGATCAATATCATGGATAGAGACATAGAAAAGGGATGCACAGTTTTGCAATAAATAATAATAAATAAAATATTGTAATTGCAATTAAATTAGATTTGTGTGTGGCAGCTGCATGTATAATTATTATTATTAATAATAGTAACAGTAATAATAATACAAATGAGCTTAAAATAAAAATTTAAAGGGTTTGTTGCATTAAAAACAGGCCATATTTTTTAATAAATAAACAAGTTATCATTCATAGTACACTAAATTTTAAACATTTTAAATTCCAACATTGTTTGTGAAAGTCCAACAAAGTTAAATATATACTCAAACCTGAAATGTTGTGTGGCTCCGGTTTCATTTGATTATCATTGTACACTTGGAGGCTTGTTTGTAACACTGTGTTACAACTAACCCCGCTGTGTATTACATATTTTTAAAACCTAGCTAACAGTCGCTAGGAATTGCGGACATGTTTCAAAACGGTGCTATGTTTGAGCCAACAAGACTGATTAAGGCAATATAAAGTTAGATTTGGAAGCGTATACACCCAATTCAGAAACCGAAAAAAAAATCTATGATGAAAAAATTTACTTTCATGGTGTCAAAACACTCTTTGTCCAGTATCTTAATGAAATATAATCAAAACTTTCCACAAATTCGCGGGAGACCGTCTTCTGGCAGCAAGAGAAAAAGAGCGGAAAGACGGCCGGCTTGATCCTGACGAACTATGTAAAAAGTCAGTGTTACA